CACCACTGCATTTTTCTACACCTTATGATTCAACTTTCTAGCCATAAAAATTTCTAAATTACACCAAGCCAATTATATATTATTTTACCGCTAAAACATTTACATAAACATTATTTGCTTTGAACAAACAAAAGCAAATAAGATAATTTTCACTCTTAACAAATCCGATATAAAGATAGTTTCCCCATTTTGTCTCGATATCTCCCTTCCTTAACGACTCTACCCTTTCTATTTATTAGATTAGGTAACGTAAAAACAAAATAATTAGAATACCGCTGGAATAGAAGATAAAAGATAAAATTATCAAGATAATGATATTTAATTATATCTAGGCACAATGGACAGTAATGATAGTTTCTCTGTTGTCGTTGAACCCGGAGAACTCGGATACCCGGGACTTGGTCCTCTCCATCCTCATCCTGGTCTTCAGTTTCAAGATCAGTTCGATCATTCTCTTCTTCCTCATCATCCTCCCTTTCCTCCTTGTGGTTAGTATTCTCCTTATTATACAACCACAAAGGAATTGAGTCATTGCCACAAACCTTTATCTCTACAACCCAATGTTGTAGACCTTACATATTTCAAACTATGAATTCTGATGGATCAAGTAATCAAAGTTTGAAATATCAAAGGTTTACGCCGTCTGGTTACACAGGGATATAGGTATTAGAAAATTGGGATTTGTGGCAAAGACTCAAGTCCTTTCATAAAAATGTTCATCAATAATGAACGAATAAATTGCAGAGCTTGTATGTATTTAACTAAAACCAAATGTTCAGGTATGGAGGAGAATGGAGATTATGATCCACCCTCTCCGGATTCCTGGGTGGGAGAAGCTCCGCCACATTTCCCTCCTTAATCTCAATCCTGGATTGGAAAAACTCCACCATATTTGTCTCCCTAATAAAGAATATACATTTACTACCAGATAACCCTGTTTATACAAATATAAACACAACTGCATCAGATTAAACTTCTACCGTGATAGTTTGAAGTATCAAGATGATGGAACGGAATTCTATAAAATATCTAAACACAAATCTTGAAAGGATTGTATTGTAGAAAATCCCTTTAAAACAGTATAGAATTCATAAATGCTTTTTTTAAAGGTGTTTATACGAAACTTATGAATGTTGTCGCAGGGTTTCTAAGGAACCCTGTTTGTAAAACGTCACAATATTTATTTGATAATTCAAAACTAATTATGCAGACGTATATATATTATTTAAACCTGTGAAAAGTGTAATCCTGGTTTCTATATTATCACCCTGTAAGGAAAACTACTGAAGTCAGAGAAGTGGAAAACTAAAACCAAAATTTATATATAACGTTTTTCTGTGTTCAAAATAGTGCTTGAATATTTATATGTAACCTTGTTCAAACCAATTCTTGAAAACTGTAAAATAAAATATATAATAAATATGTCCAAGATCGAAATAGAACAATTATTTAAAAACATTTAAAACTCAAATTAACATATAAGGAATAGATTACTAGCATCAAATAATCGTAGTTTGAAATATAAAATGTTTTCAATGTCAGGTTGCAAGGATATAAGGATATATAGGGAATAGAACATTATAGAGTTTGATGCAAGTTATCAGTTACTCCGGTTAATAGATTATTTGTTATTGGTTCTATCGTAACTATCTACTTGTCAATTTTAAATTATACAGACGTATATAAAAGACTCTAAAGAAAAATAAAGAATTAGAACCATCAAAATTTATATTTCTAAAATTGTCTTTGAAGTCCACAATAATTCTAATCATCTTGCAAAACTTTAACTGAGATTTTCACATTGGGACGATTATCATCGGACAAGGCTGGCAAACTCTCTACCCCGGTATCCAACCAAGCCATGAAGATATAAATGCTCCAAGAAAATAGAACCACTAGAAGAGAGAGAACCACGTCCCTGATGAAGACCAAGGCAACATCCTAGGNTCAAATTCGAACATTTTCTCATTTTGAGTTTTATTTGTTGAAACAAGACAAGTAAACTTGAAAAAGAAATTTTTAGATTTTTTAACAATGTTCTTTAAAAATAATGAAAATTAAATTGTAATGTTTGTAAAATTCTGATATTCGTAATAATATATCTGAGATCTTTTCACTTTTGGTGAACATAAAATTTCTGTTATAAATACTGTAAAACTATAAGATTTAAATCTATGCTAAATTAAATATATCACGCTTTTTCTCACTTTCATCTTTTCTGGAATCTTCAAATTTTTCATCAATTATTTTTCGTTCTCATAAGTTCAAATTTCAATAAAAAGTTTTTTTATTTCCAAAAATGGCATGACTTTCCTACAAAATAAAAAAGTTGTCATTTTATATCATGACCGATTTAAGGGAAATGTAGTAAGGAACTGAGTTTTGCCACAAACTCTGATTTTCTAATCCGTACATCTTTGCAATCCAATGTCGTAGACCTTTGATATTTCAAACTATGAATACTGTTAGATCAAATTATGTAAGTTTGAAATATCAGGTTAAAAACATACATCCTGGCTAGCCAATTTGATTTTTTGGCAAACACTCAATTCCTCTCTATTAAACTAAATTCATATATGATTTATATTCTAGTATACGCATTAATGCTTTTTTAGAGCTAGGCATTTTTAAATGGCCTGATATAGATAAAATTATTCTCGTAACCATTGCATATTAATATCTGGAGTCCTCAAGAAGAAAAAGAGTTAATTTTAATTTGTTCATTTAAAATTGCCAAGCTATATTCTCCACCTCTTCTGTGAGAATGTTACATGTTACATTTAACTATCTTTTGCGAACAAAGATTAAAAATAAGAATTCAGAGCGTTTTTTGCTGTGAATCTTGGTATCAAGCATTGATTTACATCTCATTCAGACCTGCGGATTAATTTAACAACTCTTCGATATCCCGGGGAGTTATTGTGCAGTGTCAACAGACCCATTTCACTTTAGAAGTTACTGGTAAAGCTATTTGCTTTGTATCAACATCAAATGCATTCCGGTATTGCTTTGATATCGTCTTCCTATTCTTCAGTTTTCTGGTCATCACTGTACACTATTTTTGCATATTCAAAATTGAGAGAGAAAATAGGAAATATCTTTAAATTTTTTCAATCTGATTTTCTAAAATTTAGGCTGTTTAAGCTAATAATATTTATAGTTGGACACTCTAAGGATTTGAAAAATTTGAGCTTGTCGTGAGTGTTCATTATCTTTGTCCAGATTTCATTTATTAAATAAAATTTTTAAAAATTTAATTACTTATACTATCCCCGTCAATATTAAAGATATAGTGGTTGGCGATTATATCAATACAATAAAGACGACTTTTTATTAATAATGCTTAAATCCCTAATCAGCATTTTCCAAATTTTAGGTTTACAAGTAAACAAAGAGAAGCTGTTAAATGACAACTTCTCTTTGTTTCCATTTCTAAGTATTTCTGCTGTTTTTTAAAGCTTGGTAGGGATCAAAATTGAACAAGAAAGTCGTCTTTTTTTGTACTGATATATATGCCAACGACTGTACAAAAAAAAACCTTATCATGGACCTATGATACATGTTTGGTACATTTCAGACCAACTAATAATATTCAGAAATAAAAGATTTTTCTGAACAGTTTATCTATTGCCATGTTTATTGGGACACCCTGTACATAATTCTATGCACTTTTATTTCACTTTTTAATCCGATTTTTTTTCACATAAATTTATATAGGCATGAAACTTTAGACAGTAATGGTTCTCGAAACCAAGTTTTGAAAGAGTTCCTTGCAGTTTTTAATGATTGGATTTACTCTTTCGATATGGTAAAATTAAAAGGTTAAAATTTAGCCTGTACAGGGACTGCGTAATTTCAAGTGACCCTCCATGCAAATAGGTAGCAATGTCAGATTCCCAATAGTACCGTTAAAAGCGTTGTTTGATCAAGTATTAATTGGAAATTAATGTTTATAATTTTGAAAACTGCTTGTTTTCAAATGTGGTATTTGCTATTTTGTACTGCATAAAAACATAACCTTGAAAAATTAAGATAAAGATTTCAATAGCACCGTTGTGAATCGGACATTGCCATCTTTGCAATAAGGGTCCTTAGAAGTTACGCTTACAGTTACAGTTACAGTCCTTTTAAATGTCAAACTTTTTAATTTAGAAATGTGCAGCTGCGGGGGAACACTGCAGCTGCGGGGGAACACTGCAGCTTAGGGGGAACCCTGCAGCTGCGGGGGAACCCTGCGCCTGCGCGTAAATAAAAAGTCGCGTACAGTCTTATCCTTTATAGGTAAGGGTGTATGTATTTAAATGTGTGTGTTTTTTACTAAATTTTATAAAACAAGGGTAAATTCAAAATATTAGGTTTGTATAAAGCCGGAGACCATGTTTACTTGTTGAGAATTGAACAAATATCTTTCTATTTACATTGAGGATAAAATGTTCTAATATATTTTGTTATGAAATCCATCCGGGTGGAAAAATCAAATATTGGGACGGGTTCAGTTTCTCCGCTAATATCCAAGTATCATCTTCTCTCCGGAGGCCGGGGGGGAAAGAAACCTGAAACCTTCCGTGACAAAAAACTCATGGGAATCTTTTTTACATTTAGTTGAAATATACAATATGTATAAACGTAACTTTATATGTATATGAATAGTTAAATAAATAGTTAAATCAGGTATTATTCAACTAATTCTTTCTATTAATAAGTTTAAAACTCAGATAGAATAAGAAAAAATTATTTGTTGCGGAAAAAAAATAATTCGTGCTTTTTTTAAGGAAATATTTCTCAAGTTTTTTGAGACTCCAATCTAAAAATAAAGGACATTAATCTGAATAATGCATATCTTTGCTCGCTCTGTCTTATACTTACTGGCCAGATCTTTGTTTTTACAAATATTGGGATGTCTCCACGGATAATCACATCCATCAGCTATCCCCTGGTTTCTCCCAATCCAAACCAAACCATTCGGACAATCATAGAGTTCAGGTTGCCCGAATTCACACTCCCAGTACCTATCACAGTACTGAACATCTCCGACCAACTTGGTTTTAGCTTGACACGGATCATCCTGGAGAATTTGCTCCTCTTGCGCCCTGGCTGTAGGGATAGGTTGGTATTAGCAGAGTAAACAAGATACAGCAGCAGTTCCCACTCCGGGTCGGAGTACTAGTCCTGAGTCAAGTTAGCATGCAAGTCTATTTAGGATAAAAATACTTACTTCGTTCTGGCCGGCTGTTGCAGTTTACATTGTGGGGATAATCACAGCTGCCAAGGAGACCAAATCTTCCGTCGTTAGCATAGACGAGACCGTTGGGACACTCCTGGAGGAAACCTTGATCTCCGTAGCAGTCGTAGAACAGGTCGCAGGAGGATTCATGAGCAACAGTCTTAGCTCCGGACTTGCAGGCGTCCTTACCAATTAATCCTTGGTTTCTAGAAGGTCCATACTGTTGCTGGTTCGGACTATACTGGTTTCTTTGGTTGGGGGGTTGAACTATGCGACGACGGGGGGGTGGAGGTGGGATTGGGATGGGTGCTAGGGGTTCGGGAACGCCTTTAGGTGGGAGGGCGTTATCATATTCATAGTCATAGTTGAGTGCGTCTTCGTCGATGTCGAGCCTTCGTCGGCCATTGTCAAGTTCTCCGTAGTCCTGAGCCACTGCTAGGAATACGGGATAAATATAGGTCTTTGGTTCTACTTACAGTCGAGTATGGATTCAATGCTTTTCCAGTTTTCATTAAAAGACTGAAGACGTAATTTCAAGTTAACCTTGATTTAATTGGAGTGAAGTGTTTGATTCACAATTGGTACTCATTAAACCTTAATCTGAGAAACAATAAGAAAGAGGTTCCCAAGAAATTGAGTCTTTAGTCTCTTCCATGAAGCATTAAATCCATTCTCGACTTTTGTTTGAAACCACGATAGATAAATAGAAGATGGAATAGGATAGATAAATAGAAGATGGAATAGGATAGAAGAAGAAGAAGGAAAGAGGAGAAGAAAGTGTTGTAAACAGTTTCTGGTTTGAGAAAGTAAATGATGATTACAAAATTTAGAAACTGAAAAATAATGATTCACATCTGGTTTGAAACCGCACAGTGCACTTTCTCTAGGAGTTGTTAGTGTGCTAGACTATTACCACGACATTATGGAAAAAAATACATATTTTAACATTGTGAAACTACATGAATTGAAAGGAAAGTACTTTTCAAAAAAAGAAAGGAAGAAAGAAGGAAAAATTGCTAAGAAGATTGAGTGGGTTCTGCCTATTATATAAAATATAAAAGGAATTGAGTCGTTGCCACAAACTCTGATTTTCTAATTCCAATATCTTTGGTACCCAATGTCGTAGACCCTTAGCTATTTCAAACTATTAATTCTTTTACATTGATTAATCTTATTTTGAAATATCAAAGCTTCATACCACCTAGCTGGTTGCAAATATATATTGATTCGAATATTTCAGATTGTAGCAAAGACTCAATTCCTTTATAAAATTAATACTTTTTATAACTTTCTTTTTATTAAAGATTGACAATCTTGATTATCCGAGATTAAAGAGAGTGCTCTTGAAAAAGAATGAAAAAAATATTAAACTATGAAATAATTGGTACTATGTTCATCATAAACCAACTTAATTTTTTTGCAAACACAAAATAAGTATGGCGCCAATCCCGGGATTAGAGTACATCAAAAGAATAAAATATTATATTATCTCAGATTTATTTTGAACGTAATGATTTTTGAGAATTAATCCAGGCTTTAACTCTGTACATTATCTTCTCTATACATTAATTATCTCAAAAGATGAAAAGATTAAGATTTATGTTTTTACGACTTTTAGAAATATATTTAAGAAGCTTTTCAGATGAATAGTTTTATCACTTATTCTAAATTAGAGAGAAGCTGACAGTGATAATCTTCTTTCTTCAGTTAATCCTACCCTGAGTCTTTCCTTCAACCATCTCTAAACATATTCATTTATCCAACCCTACTCATACATCCAGCCCTACCCAATATCCAACCCTACTCCTATATCCAACCCTACTCCTATATCCAACCCTACTCCTATATCTCCTATATCCGACCCTACTCCTATATCCAACCCTACTCCTATATCCGACCCTACTCCTATATCCATATCCAACCCTACTCCTATATCCAACCCTACTCCTATATCCAACCCTACTCCTATATCCAACCCTACATGTTCATGTAGATTATAGATTATAGAACCATCCGAATACTTTTCTCTCCTTCTAACACCCTAATCCACTCCTCTGACATTTTGATCCAACCTTACTTTGCTCCACGAAAACCCAGCTCACTCAAACTAAATTTCTCCGATCCCTTGCTTAAACTGTATATCTTCAGAGCTATAGCAGTCTTTAGCTAACTGGGGAATACCATTTAGCAGGAGATTTAAGGGATTTAGGGATTGCAGAATCCACAGTGTAGATTCGTTTGTCATTTTTCATTTCCACTAGAGAGAAAACACACAGAAATATATACAAACACAAACACACAGAAATATACATAAACACACATCGGAAAAAACACACTGAAACAAACACAGAAATGTACAGAATCACATTGAAATAAACTAGGAACCTCTGGAAACAAATACTCATGCTTTTCTTAAAGCAATAAACAGTTTTATGTTTAGCACGTCCTGGATATTCATGTGTTAGAAAAAGCGCGAAAATTTTGGATCTTTCAGATTTAAAACTAAAAATAAGTTAAAAATTTACTTTGGGGAACTTTTCAGTGGACGAAATCTTTCTCCGGGACTAAATAAACCTCTGTTCTGATGGTCCTAGGATCACGGAATAGATCTGTTCTGTTCTGATGGTCCTAGGATCACGGAAGATACGGAACCGTGAGAGTTTTTATAGTTCTTACACTGCACCGAGTTTATCACAAGGTTTAATTGTTCTCTTCCTAGTCTGAGCATTAAACTCAACTTATTCAGAAACTGGAATTATTTAAACCTTTCAAACCCGGGAAGTGGGGGGGGGGTATTAA